CATTGATGGTTTAAAAAAGTCCTCAACGGGGCTGCTAGAAATAAACAAGAAGAAAAAAAGAACCTGATTTCGGCCAAAATATGACGTGCGCTGCTGACAGAAACGTTTCAGTAATATGCCATACGCCTTATTCTACGAATTGAAAGACAAAGTAAATAGGCTACGACTGCACGCACACCTAGCGGTAGATTTTTACTTCACGCATTGTAATACATAGATCCCTTAATTGTTTTTCAGATTGCTTATGACAAAAAGTGTTCTTTTGTCGTCATAACCGCGGTCCCTTTTTCCTTTACCTCACAGCCTAATAAGTTATATGATCAAGAAGTTGTTATGTCTTAAATGCACATGTTGTTGTGAGCAGAGCTCCTTTTTAAAAATGGTCGTGACGCGGTTGGGAGTCGAACCACTCCTTCACATCTGGACGTGACATGCTACCCACTACACCATCGACCCAGCGCCCTAGGAGCAGCGTGGCAGCACATCCACTGTGTATCTGTTTTTCAAAGTGGAATGCACCTTTCTTTTCTTGCTGAATTCGGTAGGTAATGTACATTTTTTTCTCTGTAGTGACTTCTTTTTTTCGACTTTTCACGAGTTTCCCCCCACATTTTTGCTTACAGGGGTACTGGAGGAAAAGGGAATATGGAGGGAAAAGATAAGAGAGGAAATAAATCGTTGTTTGATGTTTTTAGCAAACTTCAGTTGTTTATTGTTTCAGACGACCAATTTTGGCAATGCGTGCAGTGCTTCTAAGCGCGCTAATGCTTTCTTCGTTGGAGTTATATTATGAAGCTTGCACCCAACTCTTAAGGCTCACTAGTTTTGTAAGTCTTTCAGAATTTTTCAATGAAATGCGATTAAATTTCAACGCTACCAGTGATGGAGATAATGTTCTTTGATTATCTGCCACGTACTAGCTCCGACAAAATTAATGTGCGTGTGGACGTCACAGTTAGCACTGCCAGTTGTCTGCTTCACAAGTTTTTGATAATTTTTCTTCGTTTGCTCTTATTATTGCCCTTTATGTCTATTCCAGGATGATGACTTATTCAGTGGTGTGCTGTTGGAGCGTGCAAGCGTCTATTTTGGTCAAGCAAATATGCGTCGAAAAATGGCATTCCACTATGTGTTAGCCGGTCATCGAATGTCAAAAGCTGGCCAGAAGCAGTTGTCCATGGAGTGCTACAAACGAGCCCTTCCCGAATATCTTTCCAAGCACTGGGTGTTCGCAGAGGTAAATTTTTATATGCGTGAATGAAATCGATTTCGCTCATCCTGCATTTTGTGATTCTTATGTTAGAAAAATTTTAATTGTCAGTTGGACTACAGCTAAAAATTACTTCGTTGAATTCCGTTTTGGCGAAATAAGTCTGATTTTCACAGTATATACTATGCTGGTCTTTTCGTTCCTAGGCTGTTGCAGTTAAAAGGTCGATTTTTAAAAAAATCGATATATCTGTTGCAGTTGAGAAATCGATTTTAAAAAATCGATATATCTGTTGCAGTTAAAAAATCGATTTTTAAAAAAATCGATATATCTGTTGCAGTAGAAAAATCGATTTTTAAAAAAAGTAACTAAAGTAGAATCCAGAATTATTGAGTTTCCAGTAAAATTTCAGGATCATATTCTCTATACACTGGCGAACGAGAGTGAGCAAAAAGAGGAGGCTCTTTCCTGGTGTTTGCCGTTAATAAGACCGAAATCAGTGCAGCACGCTGAACAGCAACGCCTCTTCCTCAGGCATTACTTGTGGCTACTGAAACAACGCAATAGTATCAAAACAACACATGCAATAATAACTGTACCATTGGTGGATGTCCGAAATATTATTGTTATTTATGGGGAACATCCGCTGGAAGTATCGCCTGATGTTTACACAAACGTGGACAGTTTGGTTTGTTTTTTTTTTTTTTTTACATATTCGGACAATTTTGTTACGATAGATTCAGATCGGATAAGACAGATGCTGTGGTTTGAATCTGAATCTATCTAATACTGTGCCTGAAGCATTTTTTAAAAGCGTATTTGCGTCCAACGCTTTTTTTATTACATCAGTTTGAAATGTGTTACGAACGAAACCCATCTCGCAAAAGATATAGGGCGAGAAGGAATCGAACTCTTTATCTACATTCTGGGTTTTTGTACGGTTTTTGGATCTATGCAATGCAGAAAACGCATATTGACGAGGGATTGTCTATGTGTTTGTATCTGTGTGTTCATCTGTGCCGATTTTTCATTTCAAGAGCTACAAAACCCATAAGGCTGAAACTTTGGAAACTTCATATATATATATGTATATATATGTATATATATATATATATATATATATATATATATATATATATATATATACACACACACACACACACACACACACA